TCCCCCCCCCCCCCCGAAGGACCCTTCCACCCTTCGGTTCTTTGTTTGGGTCGCCCTACAACCGCGCGCGCGCTCTCCCTTCGCGTTGCGAACCGCCGGTGTACCACCGGGAACAACCCCCCTAATTCCCCTTCCTCACTCGGAGAGACCTCATATACCGACTAACCCACTTGTCCCCCTCTGCCGCCCCCCATCCCTCTCACCCGCCCTCCTCGCGCCCAATCTTCCTTCCGCCGAAAAATAATCCGCCGTGCCAACGATGCCACGCGCGGAAGCGATGTTGCAAAACGTTGGCGGAGTTACTCTCCGCGCGTCCCGAAATATTCCCCCCTTTCACCCCCCCCCTCCTCGCTCCCCTCTCGAGGGGGACCTCGAGCGTGTTACTTCGCGGAATATCGGCGGCGCAAAAATTGGCGTCCCGACGACGATGCACCACGGCGGATCGGCACAATTCAGCGCGATTCGATCCTGCGTGCGAGGCGAAATAACAGACTCGCAGACGCGGACGGGTGTAAGTGTAAGAATTTCGGAGGGTGTCGTGTTTTCTCGATTTCCTATATCCTCAGCCTCCCCTCCTTTTTCCATCTTTTTCGCTTCGGTAAGGAGAAATATCGCGGATGCGATTATAATTAATGGATTTTATAGGTGTATATATATATATATATAAACGCGCGCGTGCACCGTTAACGGACGCGACTACGTCAATGAACGGGTCATCCGACCGACGCGAGGAGGAGAGCAAAAAAGCTCGAGAGATTGCCGAGCGCGCGCGCATCCATGTGTTTTACCTTATTTACGTCCGCCGACTACAGAATTATGCGTAATTGCATAATTTGGATATCGCGCTCGGCCTCTAATTAGCCTCGAGTATTTTTCCAGCTCGGGTATGTGTTTTTTTCGCTTTCAGAAATAAAACGAAGACTCGGGGAGGAGAGGGAGAGATGTAATTAAGGGCCCTGCGCTCGATTGACAACCGACCGAAAGGAAATTTCCCTCCCCGCGGGAAAATTAGCTCGCGTAAACAGAGGCGAGCGCACACACACGCGCGCGTGATACACTGTTAAATCTATACATATTAGTGTCAAACTCAACCTTATTTAGGTCCGCCACTGCTCCTATACTTAATAAATTAAATAAATAGTCATCCTTTACCAAAACAATGGAACTGAAAATAATTTAAAACAGTTCAAATTTAATCCAGATCTGGATTAAATTCTATCGTTTCATTTAAAAAGTAACTATATTGTTTTAGTTAAAAATAACTATTTATTAAGTAGGAACGCAGTGGCGACTTAAATGAGGTTCACAATTTGACACAATATAGATTTAACAGTGTATCGTGATCCGCGGCGGCGCCACGCGGAACGCGAAACGCGTTCGCCGCGATCGTTTTCCACCCGGTCGCTCCCGCGACATAGGAGCAAAGGCTTAGATTTTACACGATGCTCTTTTTTTTACTGGCAACCGGCGCGTTCGCTGATCTAGAAAAAAAACTGGCAGTTAAGAAATATAATTCTATATAAATCGTTCTTTTTTTTAGGGGGAGGGAGGGGGGGGGGAAGAAAAACTGCAGACACAAATCAAATAACATAGTTTATGTAGAATTCTGTTCTTCTTAGCTGCTAGTTTTCTGAATTCGTTAGAAGACGCTGCAGCACGCTAAACGCTAAGTAAGAAAGCATCGTGTAAATCGGGGGCTCGATTGATCGGAAGTGAACCCATATTTCGTGTATCGCTTTTGTTGACAGGCAACGTCGGACAAACGACGTGACGGCCGCGTCGAGACGCGGATGTAGAATCTCTCCGAAGCGGAGACGCCGACCAGACACGGCCACGTACGTCACGGTGGCGAAACAGAAACGAAAACAAAAAAAATCGCACACCCTTCGACACGGTACTCTCTTCCAAGCTCGTCGCTCTGTTAAGCGCTCAAGTAGAAGCCCCGCGGGCCGCGCTCGCACGTCGCGTATTCCGCGCGCGGTGCACGATGACGAAACCCGTTTTTCCCCGTAGCGTCGTCGCGCTCAGGAATTCCGTTTCGCCGAGAGATAACCAGCGAGCGGCGTCGGCTGTTATCTCGAAAGTTAACGCGCGAAGTTGACGGAGTGCCGGTTAACGCATTTACAAATTCTCGTCTGTAAATCTCCGTTTCTCGTCGAGAAGGCCAAGTCGCTGTTTTTAATTACCGGCCGACGTGCGCGGGTGCCGGCCTCGACAAAGTTCTCTTCTTCCCCCCCCTCCCCCTTCCTCTACTCTCCGCCCCCGTCGCTCCTTCCGCGGCCGAGCCGCGACGCGGATCTTTCGCGGCGAAAAGCGAACGAGCGTAACGAGTCTCTCTCTCTCTCTCTTTCTCTCTCTGTCGTCAGCATTCCCGTCTCGCGGCGGCTTCTCTCTTCCTGTCAACGGACTCGAGCGTGAAATCCGTCGATCGTTCCTCTCGTCCAAGTCCTCCGTCATCCCTCCCGCTCGCGTCTACGCCTATTATTTCTCCAATTCCTCCCGTTTTCCGTTGAAACGTCTGTCCGTCGCGCCGCGAGACAGAACGCGCGTGAAAACGCAAAAATCGGCGCGAAAGAGCCGGCATCCGCCCGTTAATTGGAGGTACCAAAGTTCATGCTGATGCTCGACGCTCGATTTTTGGCGTGTCCAAAACAGATTTCGATCACACGATCGAAATTAATGCTTGGTGTGTATCGCGTGGATTTTTCGATCGTGTTTCGACCTGTTTCGACGCTAAAAACGAGTGTGTCGAGCGTCAGATTGTGTATGTGTGTGTGTGTGTGTGTGTGTATGTGAGAAGAGAGAGGTGTGTACCTACCTTTACCGGGTCGTTATACATTACGCATCGACCGGCGAAAATGGCCGCCGTCGCCGCGGTCGCCGGCGCCGTTGACTCCCGACGAGTCAGCCGGTTCGCCAAAAACAAACTTCGGTGTACGACAAGCAATGCGACTCCCGTGACTCGAGATTCTTTAATTAGCGGACGAATCCCTCCTTCCCCTCCCCCCTTCCGGCCCCTCCGACGACGAAAATCCGGAGGTTCTTTCCCCCCTCCCCTCCCCCTCGCCCCGGCGGAGCCCCCCCCCGTCGAGGCGTGAACGGTGAACCGGAAAAGAAAGAGCGGCTTCTCGCGAATCGAATCTCAGGCGAAAGAGAATCGTGTGTGCGTTCTTCCACGCGCAATCGATTAAAAATACTCAAAGACACTCCGAGGTGGGAATCTGAATCTCTCGGCGGCGCTCCGCTCCCGGAAAGTGCTCTCGATTGCGTCTACCTTGAGCTGGGTGAAAAATTGGCAAATTCTACTCACCTCGTCCGGCCTCCTGAGTGCCGTCCTCTCTCTCCTCCAGAATCTTCTCCACCATGATGTTTCTCCGCTCCTCGCGCACCACTACTACTCTCGTCTCGTCGCCCTCGCGACGGAACGATGACCGTCCGGGTAAGATCGGAGAAGGGAATCCTCCGCGGTTCACCACTGATCCGAGAGATCTGTCCGAGTGTTCAATTCTCCCCGCAACTCGCACCGATAGCAATAATTATAAAAAAGAGTTTCAGTCGTATATACAAAAAACCCTATCCACTATGATACTGATATAATCTTTCTTCGGAGCGATGCTTCTCTCTCTCTCTCTCTCTCTCTCTCTCTCTCTCTCTCCTACTTTCTCTGGATCACGTCACTCGCCTCTCTCTCTCTCTCTCTCTCACTCGCTCCTCTTCGTCTTCTTTTTCTCGCGAAGAAGGTCGATGTATATCAGTGTCGATATCACAGATGTAAATAAATATATAAAGCCTATCCCTCTGTCTCTCTCTTTCTCTCTCTCCTTTTCTCTCTTTATATATATATATATAATATATATATATATATATCTCCTCCGCGCAGTTGTTCACCTTCCTTTCACGAAGATGACACGTCCACAGGTGCTACTGATAACGATGTTGTTATTTATTTTTGAATAAATACTATCACAGACTTTGACACTGCACTTTCTCTCGGTCGGTCATCCGCGCGCTGATTCTTTTTTCCGTCCGCTCTCGCTCACTCCCTTTCGCTCTCTCTCTCTCTCTCTCTCTCTCTCTCTCTCTCTCTCTCTCTCTCTCGCCCTCGGCGTCGATCTTGTGTACGCCGGTGTGTCTTCCTCCTCTCGCAGCCGAGCAGAGCCAAGCCCTTCCGCCGATGAGAAGCTATAAGCTTCGCGCTTGTCAGCCTCTCGCCAGAATCTTCTCCGCGACCTGCTCTTCGCTGCCGCTACCTCCTCCTCCTCCTTCGCCGCCGCCTCCGCCGCCGCCTCTCTCTGCTCCTCCGCAGCTCCCGCCCAGCTGAAGGTTTTTAACCGGATGCACCGGGCCTTTTCGCACGCGAAAGCAGCCCCGCGATGGTCGTCGTGGCTCCGTCGTCGCTATCGCACAGCCTCTCGTCGCACGTAGCGGCAATCGGGCTCGGAAGCGCATTAAAAAACCCTTCGTCTAACACATCTGGCCTCTCTTCCACATCACCATCCCTCACTGCTCGGCAGTTGGTTTCCGACTGAGCTCGACAAGATGGCCGCTCTTGCTTACTAACACTCCGGCCGCCCCCCGGCCCCCCTCCCACCTCCCCAACGTCCCTCGCCTCGCCGCGCCGTCCCGCGGCCCCCTCTTCCCCAAGCCGCCGCTGCTCTCCCTCTTGTCTCTCCTCTCTCTCTCTTTCTCTCGCCACCGTCGGCCGGCGAATCACGAGGCTCCGTCGACGCCCTGCGAGTCACGTAGGCAACGTGGTTCTCAGACGACGGCTCCGGCCTCCGCCGCGAGAGTGACGCAAACGGCGACGCTGATTTGGCGAGAATTCCGCGACGTGAATTCCGAAATCACCCGCCGATGGACGGATCGCGCGACCACGCGAACGACATTTTTCGCGTGCGCACGTCACTTTCGCGAGGATCGCGCGATTTTTTTTTCTCTTCTTTTTTGGTCCACAGCCTGACGAAATTAACCGTCCGTCGCGCGTCGCCGGAGCCGCCGTCGCCGCCGCTCGCGACTGTTTCTGCGCGTTACTTCCCCCCCTCCCCCTCCTCCTCCACGGGTTTCATCGACGTCGCCGACGATGCCTCGGAGTGGACACGGAGCGGCGATTAGCGGTTTGCCATTAGTTTCCATTGTCACATTAACGAGTGTACGAGGGCGAAACGCCGAATGCGATTCGGCGCGGCAGGTGTCACGCAACGGGAGAGAGCAGGGGGGCGGGCGCGGTGGGCGAGGGGGAAGGGAACCAAACCGATCGCTTCGAAATTGCCACGCGAATTCCAATTACATATACGTCGTTCTAGCGAGACGACGGCTATCGCGAATATCCAGATATGTATCTGTAGATAAGTGGACATCCGTCCGCTTCGCGACGCTTCGAAGTCGCGATCCTCACCGCGAGAGTTTATCGCGACGGGATATACACAGGCATGGAGGATGCGCGCGAGTGAGAGTCGCTGACTTCGCTTCGCTCGCTCCGGCTCGCCGGTTCCTCCGGCGCGCCGCGGCGGCACGCCATTTTGCGCGTAATAATACGGGAGCGGAGCGGAGTTTTCTACGCCGTATACATATACGCTCGCGCGCGCGTCCAATCTCTGAAAACAAAGCAGGGAAAAAAAAGGGAAGACCGACTCGTCTCTCTCTCTCTCTCTCTCCTTCGCGCGAGGAGGGTGCCCGCCCAGCCGATGCGTTTACGTTCGCCCCTACGACTCACACGGCCCCGAAATTGTCGGACAAGGACGAGGGCCCGGAGCCGCCGCCGATGCCGCGCCGGTTACGCGTCTCTTGTGTTTTCGGCGTTGGGATGCGCGCGCAGGCCGTTCTCCGGTCACGTACGCCGACCGACCGCGTATCGTATCGCGCAGGAGTCCTCGGCAAGAGTCGGAGCGGGTTGCGGGACGAGAAGGAGGGGTGGGGGGAGGTGGGAGGAAGAATCGACGGGACGGAGGAGAGGAGGGACGCGCATAGAAATGAGCGAGTGATTCGGCTCCGAGCTGAGGAGGCGAGAGAAGATATAATCGAGCGCGGAGCAGAGCAGCGCGCACGTGAATGCGAAGTAATATTATATATACATACATATACATATATATACATACATCAATCCCTCTCGCTCGCGCTCTCTCTCCTATCTTGTACTTTGTATATTTAATACCATGCAAAGTAGGCGTGGAGCGTCTTTATAATTTGTATTTTAATTCCACGTTTCGCGTGGACTGCGCGCGTTCGTGCGGAATACCGGCGTGAAGCGCGTGCGTGTACAAAGCCGAGAATTCGAAACCGGCCGCTCGCGGCGCGCGCGTTCCGCGCTTTCTCGTTTTCTCGCGTCTTTCTCTTTCTCTCTCTTTCGCGTGTATATAACTGAGTCGACAAGGCACACAGGGGATA